AGCAATTTTATCATTTTAATATACATAACTTTAAACACTCGTGAACATATTCTTTACGGTAATGCCATTCTCTAGATTCTGTAAAAATGAGTAACAGTTGTATTTATAAAATCTATATCTAATTATAATCCGCTGAACCGTCCTTCAAGTTGTAAGAAAATGAAATATATAACAAATCTGAAAGTTAATATGTCAATAGTTTGAATTATTTTTATTTAATAAAAATAACTTATTGTTATTTATTACATGTATAAATGCACCAGAAAATTTCATTAATCGAAAACAGAATGCTTTACGAATTCACAGAATTTCATAATGGCCATATTTTAAATACGCGTTTGAATTATAAATTTTTATGGTACAAATCGTAACTTAAAAATAATCTTCACTGCTTAAAGACTCAAAACTAATAATTTTCAAAAAACAATAATTTTTTATCCTGAAAAGTAGTCGAATGAATTGGAAACTTTGCAGCTGCAGTACATAAATATAATTCTGGAGTTTTAATTATGTGATAATTTTCACTTAGTTTACACATACAAAAGACTTTGAATTTCCTTATTCATTTTTCATATTATTATTCTTTGGAGGTACTAAATATCTTCTACACAAAATATTCCGTCGTTGTGTCATGCATCTTAACTTTGTCGACGTATGTATAGAAAAGATTAATATCTGATTTAGATAAATATTAGTTAATAATTTCATGAAATGTTCGACGCGCGTAATTTATTATTCCTAGAATAAAGTAGTCGTTTCTTGAAAAATGACTAAATTTAGACGAGCCTACACTGGAAAATTAATGTGAAGGAAATTACATTTTCTCACTATAACTTTAATATTTGTTTGACCGATTGTTCAAAACATTTAGCGATCACAATAAAATTTATTTTGCTCTTTTTAAAAAAGTAAAATGATACATTATATTAGATTTTCAAAAGCAGAGAAAAAACTTCAGTCGGAGAATAATGTTAATAAAATTATGATCTATTTATTCATCCCGAATTTTTATTTTAAACATGTGTATAGATTTTCTTTCCAAAATTCTTGAACCATTAGGTTACGTTACCATACATTTATCATTCATGCAACTTGGTAAATATTAACGTTAATAAAAACGTAAGGTCTTCAGATTATTATCCAGACAACCTGATTAATAGTCAGTTTCCGGCATGTTTCCATTTAACCTCAAGAACAGGCTTCTTCAAAAACTTGAATATTTAATTTATTTTTATAAGTTCTTTTTATTTATTTTTAATAAATAAAAAATTTATAAAAATAAATTACTATTAGTACTAAAAATTACTGGTCTTCGAATAGAATTAATCTTTTATACTTTTTGAGAGTAATTCTTAAGGCAATGTATTAAAGCAGTGAAATTTTAAAAGCAATTTATAAGATTTCATAATAATTTATAAGATTTCATAATTTTAAAATTATATTTTTGTATGTTATTTAGTATAATAGTGCAAAAAATTCAAAAATATGGTAGGAAAATATTCAGTTTCTACGTTTTCATGAGATTTTTTAATATTACTTAATAATAACCTAAAGATTATTTTAGAGAAAAAATATAAAATTATCTTAAATATTCAATTTTGCAGTAGAATGTTTAGCTGTTTGTATAAGTTTTGATACAAGCCTAATTTCTTGTACATTTAAACTAATAAAACTAAACAAAACATTTGAGAAACCTACATTTTAAACGACAAATACTGCTTTGTTTAAGTTAAATACAAAATATTAGGTATTAAATCGTGTATCGTTTACCAAATTAATGTACCTAAATTTCATCAGTTTCTACCCATTTTTCAATGCTTTTACACCATTATTTGCATTAAATATGTGTAAAATACCATGGGAAGTGCATGAAAATTCAGGATGTAATATTCTCTTTCTTTATTCAAAAAATTGAGATACTTACTAGCAAACAGCCATTATACTTGGAATTTTTTTAGTACGTTCTATCGATCAGAGGTCGGCGAGTTTTCAGAATGGTAGTCAGTGAGCAATATATTACGAAATTGCTATTCTGAAACAGCATCGTTAAAGCACACACTTTATTTGTGTGCCAAAAATTTGACCCAAACGGGGAAAAAAAAAAAAAAAAAAAAAAAAAAAAAAAAAAAAGAGAGACCTAAAGTTTTCTAACATTCCAGTGTCAAAATAAGCTGGTTCATTTACGCTTTAAAAATAAACTTAGCGAAGGAAACAAAATTTCCATAAACTATTTTTTTAATGAAATATTGATATTTTAAGAATTTAAAAAAAATGAAGAACACTATTGGATGTGCTAAAGCAACAAAATCAGTACTTAACAAAGAATAAGAATATCACAGTACTTCGACAAAGAATAAGAATGTGCAGGCGGGAATTTTCATACTAAAATTAAATGTCTACAGCAATTATACAATATGGCAAAATAATAATAATAAATAAAAAAAAATTATGAAACTTCCTGCACAGACGGCACAGCTTTACAGATAAAGCATGTGCAATTAGAATACAAATACGGCAAAAAAATAAATTATGAAACTTCATGCACAGATGAATAACTATACAGACAAAGCATGTGAAATTAGAATAAAATTTCGTGTATAAAAAACGCGATAAAGATTTAGTGTAAATTATTAGTTTTAAATTCAGTATTTTCTATTTTTAACAGTGCAGAGCATTTAAAAAATTTAATTAATTTAAATTCCTCATAAAGTGTTTAGATCAAAAACAATATGCAGCTGCAAAATTGAATTTAATTTTAATTAAAGAAAGTTTGATTTTAAAATTCAAAATTACTTTTACCTCTAAAAATGGGAAATAGCAATACATTTCTTAGATAAATTAAAATTTTACAAACAAGTTAAAAATTAATTAATCATTGCAATTGCGTTGAAAATTATTTCCAGTAAAACGTTTTCTAAAGACAGATGGATATCTGTCTTGTTTACTTTAAATAATGACAATGAAATAACTTCGTTTGTAAAGATCTGTTTGCATATCAATTAATGTAAGAGTTTTACAAGACATTTACGATCAACAGTAAACTTTTACCAAATCAAAAGGTATTTTACAAATTTCATTCCGTAAAACAAAGCATAATTATTCTCAGCCATAGTTTGTTTAAAAAATGAGGGAAACTAATTTTTCGCAAGCAAATGAAATGAATTTTACTTTTTAAATTTGAGTAATGAGGTTTAGCAGATAGCAATATTCAGAATTTAACGATAAAAAAACGGGTCACTAATTACTAGAAAAATATCAAAATGTACTCAAGACAGCCATCATACGCAGAGTTTTACTTCTTCAATATAAATACTACCAGTTTTTATACTTTCGGCAGAATTAACTGCTATTAGTTAAATATAGCACACGAATTCAATACATAATATATATATATATATATATATATATATATATAGCGTTGTCGTTACGTTTTTAATTTACGCAACACCTTTACCAACATATGCGTCTTGTATGATAAATTTTCAAAAACTGAGAAATATATTTAATAAAACACAAGTATTCTGAAATATTATTCCACAAAAAATTCTGCAAGCGTATTTCTGAATATTATCTCTGAATCTTCGTATTTCTGAATCTTCTTACACATTCTATATACAGTCAAAAGTCGTTAATTCGGACACCCATAATTCGGAATGATCTATAATCCGGACATCAAAACTAAAAACTTTCTGCGCATGCACCGCGTTGACACATGCGCAGAGGCGTTTCACGCGTGCGCGTAAGACCTTTTACGACTGCGCGCGCATATGAGTGTGCGCAAGTGCAGAATACGTTTTCGCGTGCGCATTTTATGTATAATGGACGTATAAGCTAAAATTATCTAATTATCTATTTCAGTTAATGTTGATGATTGCGTTGTTCCTTAATTTTCGAATTGCATACGGCTTATTATTTTTTTGCAGACTGTAAGAGCAATTTTATAAAAGTAGTAAGCTTAAACTTTCGATTATATCAAATAGAATTTCCGATATATATTTGTTAATATGTAAAGGATCTAAAGCGAAAGTATGTTTTGAAATCCGAAATCTGTTTATCAATTTCACGCTGCTCGGCGGGGGAATGCCTCGGCGCACTAATGAATTGGAAGTTGATTTGTCAGCACTATCCTTATCTTCAGCGCAGATGTTTTTATTTTATTTGGCTTATAATTCCTTACCAAATGTAGTATTTCATCTCGATGCATGCTCCGTCTTTGATATGATTTAAAACAAGTTCCTCGTCATTATAATTCGCTTCCGATAGCGAAGAAAGTGACAGAGGTTATTGAAAACGAAAAAAAAATTTCGATTGACAAATTAGTCGGTGTTCTTGACACAGCAATTATAGGACTTGAACGGCGGAACTTTGTAACTGAACAAGAAATTATGTCTGTTTAATAGAATTAAAGAGAAAGTATTATCACATGAAACGAAGCAAAACTTAAACAACTTACATTGAAAGAAATGTTTAATAAAGTAAACAAATAAATATTAAGCTTTTTCTTTTTGCAAATTTTGATACCCTTTAGATCATAATTGTTCTTTATTTCATAAATTACGGTTTCATATTTTTAATTTTAGAATTTCTGCATGCCATCTTACGAGATTTAAACTGATGATCTATAATCCGAAAAAATCAATAATCCGACGAGTCCGGATTAACGACTTTTGACTGTATACATATTCTTATGATTAAAAAGATCCCATACGTTATAGTTTTATTTACGAATCACTAAGAATTGGGTAAATTTTTTAAAGAAGGTTTTGCTTTTTTGAAAATGAAGATAAAAATATCTGAAATTCAATAAATAACCGAGAAGAACTGTGCTTTTACTTCTATTTTTGAAATGAATAAGGGAGAATAAAGAAAGCAATTGAATCATATATATATATATATATATATATATATATATATATACCAACTGTAATTATTATTTAAAGTACTTGAAACTTTTTTTTAACATTTTCAAATGTTTTTAAATATAGGGCTGAAAGAATATATCTTTTTTATCAAATATATTTTATTATCAGAACAGCATCTTCATCTAAGACCAAGATCAATAAATTATCATCACTGCAAATTATACCACAGACATAATACCTTATAGTTTAAACAGTGATATCACGGATATCAATTAAAACAGATCAATAAAACATATAACTCTTAGTTAGGCAATGATGCTGTCGATACCACAATGAAATATACAAGCAATACATAATTTATAATTGTGTTACATTAGTTATCTTTTTCTTTCGTTTCAATGACAATATTTGAAAATTTCTAAGTGTTTGTTCACAAGCAAAATAATTGGATTTAATTGAAGATAGATTCAGCATTCTCCAAGAAATAATTGTATTTCTGACAAAATTTAAGCATCTCTTAATTTAGGCTACACAAAACTGGAATCATTCCAATCATATAAGCTTTCTATTTTTTTTTTCTGAAAAAGCATTATACAAGCAAATAACTTTAAAAAATTGAAGATAATAAATTTAGATTGACTAGATTACCCGTTTACTGATTGGAAAAACACCAGAGAAAGCACTGACTACTACTGTAGAAATGTGAAATGTTTTAAACTGATTTTTATTTTTTTTAATTTTTTGTCATATAAAACTATTCTGTTTTGTAGCACTAGCGCCATAAAGAAAAACGAGTCACCATTCATATATTTTCACTAGATTAAAAATACATTAATGTTCCATTCGTACACAAAATTAAATGCTTCACTCTATTACAGTAAATCAATAACAGTTGATCACAATTTGGAAACAGAAGTCCGTTTCCTCAGAAAACCGCGGTGACTGTCCCTTTGCAAATGCTTCTATCTGAGGAACTAATTCAGATAAAACGGTCACAAAACGGGTAAAAAGCTTCACAAATTATAAGATTCGACAGCAACAGCGTTTGTGTCTTGGCAGAGAAAGGATATTTATTCCTCGCAGGATAAAGTGCAGAGGGCATTGGAATAAAGAAGTCTGGCAACAGATGCTCAGTTCTTGATTTGGAAGTTATGTATATTTGAATATTGTAGAATTAGTTCTAAATTGCCTAAGAAGTGACTAGATCTTGCAAAAAAATTCTTTCACTGAAAACCTTTCATCGAAGCAAATGACGCGGTTTCGAGTTCCTCGGTGTAGCATCAGAGCTTTTGTTGTTTTTGATGTCATCCTCCTGACTATATACCGTTGAACGAAGCTTTTCGCAGTCCAGTTGCTCAAGAGGATTCACTTCCAGTCATTGGTAAGTCCTTTGGTGTGAGTGGACGATACCGCCGTCTCCTGAAACGTGGAGGAAATCTCTCTGAAATCGGTATTATGGAATCATAAACTTTCTGTTGAACATAAATGCACTTACAAGAAACAATGTCAGTTATATAAAAACAGTAAAACCTTCCTTAATGGCCAACCTTCCTGCTGATTAGAAACACAACTTTTAAAGTACATGTTTTGGTTCCGTTGCATATTTGAATTAAAAGATGATTATGTTTTTCCATAAATGGGAGAAAGTGTTGTAATTACAGAAGCAGATATCTGAACCGGGGTGAATATGTGCCGTCTCATGTTCAACAGAACTTAGCTGCTGTAGAACTTTCGAGCTTGTAAGAAATGACAACTTAAAAGTTGAAAAGTTGAATCCTCACATTGTAAAACATAGTAAATTGGTCTAAATGAACATCTTTATTTGACACAAATATGTTTAAATGCTTTTTATTACGTTTATAGCATGAATAACGTTATGTTCGACTAAATCACATTTCGGAACATAAACAACATCTACTATGATAAAATAACACGCCGAACAAGTACAATTTAGAAGTCAAACAAATAATTTGCAAATATAATGTTGATTTTTGTTGTTTGACTTCTAAATTAACATCCACTATGTGTCTCGAAGGATAGAAAGGAAAGCTCGATGAAGATTGGTACATAAGTCAATTTTACTACTTTTTTCTTCTAGCTTCAAAAGACTGCAAAAACTGTACTAGATTTTTATAATTTAAAAACCATATACATTTAGTTTGGAAAATGGAGCTCAATAACATATTTTTACAATTTTTTATGAACTAATTCAACATTCCAGCTAAGTTATGCGTGTGTTTAATCATGCTTTTTCAAAATTCCGCTAAGAAAATTGGAATTAATTTCTACCCTTAAACTCTCAGTTCATTGCAAATTTCCAAGAGCTACAATCAAAAAATATCAACGGATATAATTGTCATCTTCTAGTGCACTGTAAGATAACTGATAGCAATATGTGTTATTAAATGAACTTTCAGTGAATTAAATTCCACAGTATTGCTGCATACCTGAGAATCTGATATTAACTATCTATTAATAAATTAATATTTAATTGTCTAAGACTCAAACAGCTAATATATGTTTTCAAAAAGTCAAAGCATGTACTGCACAAAATGAATGAGAAAAGAGAAATTTCGTTCTAATGTATCGGAGTTTTAAATTCTCAAAACTAAAGATTCACAATGGTAAAATTTCTTCCATTGAGTAAGCCTCATACAGTTCAGTTACATATGAATTCAGAAAAAGGCAATTATCACTGTAAAATTCTATTAACCAAATATGTTGATTAAACAAAAATAATTTTTGTTTATTTCTTTAGTAAAACGTGTTATTTTTATCCTATAGATGGCTCAAAAGAGAAGGTTTTATATATACTGAATAATAATAATGAAAATAATATATGAAGTATAAATACACTTTTTTTTCATCATATAAACACAACCATATTGCATAAATACACTTATTTTGCATTACATAAACAGAATAATTTTCAGAATAACATGTAGCTAACAATAGGTAAACCTGCAGTTTACCTATTATATCAAGCAATATTTATTGCATTCATATTAAAAGAACTGTCATTTCAGATTTGACCAAGTAATAATGACAACAGCAGCAACAATAATAATAATGAAGGTGTTTTTTTTTTTTTTTTTTTTTTTTTTTTTTTTTTTTTTTTTTGGACTCCTGTGAGAAAACATAGTACATCTATCAATTTTTAAGATTAAAAGCATAAAAACAGAGATTCGAACGAGGCAGCTTCACAACAGATTTTATCATAAAATTACATAAATTCAGATATAGTAGGCAAAATAGGTATTTTCTGCTATACCTATTTTGCCATGTTTTGGTTGCTACTTCTAAACTACTGAACTGTTATTTCATATCATCTGAAAATCTGAGATGTCTCAAAATGTTGTTTTTCAGGTGAAACTTCACTTCAGGTAACATAAAATAGTTCGTAAGTAGCAAATATGATGATGATCGAAAGGTAAATAAGAACAGTTAAGTGTTTCTTTAGAATAAACAGCTTGACTACATATGGAAAATTTTTGTTTGACCACATATGCAAAATTCAACGTAGATTGACGCAAATAGATAAACTAAAATTTATAAAAAAAAAAGGAATAAACTAGAAACTACAATTTATAAAAAGTGATTTCAAAGAAGACAGGTACGGATGCTCTTTTTCAAGAAGCAAAAATATGTGCTTTTATATAAAACCAACATTCATATAAGGCTGATTTTTGCTTAATTTTAAATGCTTAATGACCGCTGCAATGCACAAAGAGAATGCTATTACGTCTTGTTGTTTTGTATTCTTAGCAGTAGATACCAACTACATAAACTCAAACAAAAAAAAAAAAATCTGTTTAAACGTGTTTGCTTAGGAAGATAATGTTTCAGAGGAAGGAAAGTAAGTACATGGTAAGTAAGCTTTCCCATTAATAACGATTACCAAGGAAGGCAAGAATGGTTCAAGCAATTATTTATAAAATTTCGGAGATATGCATTGAATAAGGAAATGACATAGCTATAATATACGTAACAATTTGATATAATTTATTCTTTTAAAATCTGTCTTACATAGATAAGGAAACTTTTGAGGGCAGAAGAAACAGTCACAAGATTAAACATTTGCCCCTTCTTGCAGCTTGTTTGCGAAAGAATAAGATCTGATTTATTTAAGGCATATAAATTAATTGTTTACCTGAAGGCAATGGCTAGTTTTCTGAAGTAAGTAGCCCGCATCTAACTTTTAAAGACTCCTTATCTTAAGACGCAAGTGATAAGAGAGATCCCTCGCGATTGCGACCAGCATGATTCCATAAATTTGTCTTTATTTGAAAGTGGTAACTGAATTGAATACATTGAATTTCATTCAAGCATACAATTTAGAAAAAAAATCATACGTTTATTTTTTATCTTCTAAAACGTATATCACATATGCATTGTCGCGTATATATATCCACAGAAAAAAAAAGAATTGGGAAATACCTATCAGAGCATTCTCCACTCAAGGATACAGAAATTGAGTAAATTTTTACAGTATTGTAAGAAAAGCGCATTACATGGAAAATGCTACTTTAAGCATTATATTACAAATTAATTTAAAAAAGATGGTATCGAATAACTGAGCGGTTACAGAATCATGAATATATAAATCGGATATACAGATCATGATGATTTTTATCCCATAATCTCGATGGTACAAAATCTAAATCGAAACGCGATGTTATTTTTAAATTTATTCTGTAGGTTATGGAATTGAATGTTAATATAAATTTAACAAACAGCTATATGAAGCCTCATTTGGAAAGAGCTTTAGAAAGAGAGTTTTGATGCATTTATGATGCTTAAATATTTTTGGGGTATTTTTCGCTTACGGTTTTTTTAACTCATCGTTTCCGAAGAACAGAATACAGGTAACCCTCGTAAATACGGTAGATAGATTCATAGAAAATGCCGTGTTGTGTGAGACTCAAAGCTAGTATAAAAAGGGGGGTTACGTTCCGAAAACGTATTAAATACAATTTTTTTTAATTCTACATCAACAGCTTAATTTTTATTAATCATATATATGTATGCACAACACAAAACAAAAATATTACATATTTTAATTTAACACAACTTTAATTTAATAAATTTCTTTGGTGCCACTGCTCAGTATAATCAACCGAGAACGTTTCTTCGGTGGAATCAGATGGCTTGCTTTCAGAATTTCTTTCTTCATTTAAAGTTCTGGCATTTTCTTTTTTCTTTAAAAAATCTATAATTGTATTTGCTTACTAGTTCTTACCGGATCAATGGAAATTTCTCAATATGGAACTAGACAGTTTTGCAGCCCCCTTTTGAATTTTCGGCATATTTCAGTGGAAGGGTCTGTACTCAAGAAAAATGATTAGAGATTTTCAGTAGGCGATCTTTAATTTTTTTTTAATGTTAAATTATTAACTGTACTATCTTAATCAGTGCTAGCGTTCTCAGAATTGATTTGATTTATGGCTTCGGATGCCATTTCCATCAAATCTGCTTCGTCAGTTTCTTCTTCCGCTAATAAATCTTGAACATCCTCAATAGCCATGTCGACAAAACCTTCGCCTCCGATTGATTTAGTAAGTTTTAGTAAGCCAACAATTTCATTTTCTGACGATTCACGCACGTTTTCTATTTTATCTGAAGAGGGACATATCTTCTTCTAACACGCATTTAACGTTGATGCTTTCAGATCTTTCAGAGACAAAGATACGATGTCGGTACAGTGCTTGATTGAAAATGTCTTGCAAGCATCCATTACCTTAATTGATTTTGAATCGGTTACGTCTAAAATGCACTGTATTTTTCTTCTTATGTAATATGTTCTAAAGGTATAAATAATACCTGGATCCAATAGTTGGAGTAAAGAAGTAGTGTTAGGTGGTAGGAACAGTATTTTGATGTTGGGATGATTCAAATCTTGGGGGTGACATGGAGCATTATCTAACAGCAACAGAGCCTTGAAGCTCAAAGTTTTCTGCCTTAAATAACGTTCAGCGTCTGGCACAAAACTGTTTAAAAGCCAAGCTTTAGCTTCATAATCAACATCCTAGCAGCTTTATAATCAGCCGATGCAGATTCTTCTTGAATTTTTATGCTATGAGTTGGAAGACGCTTTTTGAAATTTTCGAACTAATCTTTACTTGCCAGAAAAAATGGGTTGACAGAATATTCTTCATGTTCTTTAAGGTGCATGAAAATTTTGAGTGCTTTTTGTTTAATGATATTAACATCCAACGGAATTCTTTTTCGACAGCTATCATCATTCCAAATGCTGAGTGCCTTTTCCATCTTCTCAATTATTGGCGCCCGGGGAGGGCAACTGCACATTTTGGGAATGTCGAAGATCCTGCAGCAACTGCATTTCTTATTTCTTTTTCATTTTTCTTAATACCCCGGACTGTTGCTTCATTCAAATTAAAATTTTTCCCAATGTGAGATGCCTTTTCTTCTTTTAAATGACGG